TTTAATATGTTTATAAGACATTCAGCCCTTAAACATTTGCACTTAGAATTATATAGAATCACTTTAAATACTTTTCAATAAGTTAAATGTCTACAATTCTGGTTCAAATAAAGAACTTTATGTTTACCAGATTATTAACTAATTATTTTCGAGGTAATGTTGACTTAATGAACAGTGATTAAAAAAATAACCTGTAAAACTCTGATGTTAGGCGACGTGGTTGAAATTTGGGTGCACCTAACTTTTGTGCTGGTGYGCCTAAGACAAAATGTGAGGAGCACCRGTGCAACCAGTGCAAAAAGTTAGTCTAGAGCCCTGCCTGGTCTGATGTGTCTTGTGAAAGTACCATAGAACAAAAATATTTCATCCCCCGCTCCAGATCCCCTCTGTTTAAAAATGTTAATTTTGTTTGTTTCTTGTGACTTATTGATCATTAATTTTACTAAATAACACTAAATCATTTACTTTGGCAACATGTTTATTATTCATGCCGTCCATTATGAATCTTGTGCAAATATTTGATGGCAATTTAGCTTTTGTTAGCCATGCAAACTTGTTTTTGTTTCATACACAGTATTTGTGCAGCTGCCTGACTGCTCTGCACACACTAAAATCTCTGCTCAGCTTTTTGAACAGAGTTCTTTCTCTTTAACTAATCGATAATTTGCAAACAATAGACTTTGTTTTCACCAAGCTCTGCTTTCCTAATTGTTTTCTTTTGTGCAAAGTCATTAGTTGTTGATGACGTCGATTAATTCTCTGTTTTCTGTGTTCCCACTCAAAGCCAAACCGGGATCTCGATATGTTCATAAATGCCTCTAAAAACTTCAATCTGAACATAACCTGGGCCACCAGTTTCACAGGTATGTTTTAATCTTCTCAAGAATGTGCCTACAGCAAGTTTATTGATAATAAAGTGATTAATTTAATATGAAATGAATGGAAAAATAAAACCTAACCCATAAACTGACTGAAATTTAATCTGTAAAAAACATGTAACCTGTGTTTTAAACAAATTAGTTTAATTTCCTCTTTATTAAAGAGAGACAGATCTTTTAGCCATTCTGAAGAGGTGTTTTGTGTAAAAGTTATGAACTGTTATTATCTTACTTCTTGTAAACAGCTTTTTGAAGCTTTAGTTTGAAGATGTAGAGTTAAAGWCTGACAGGACTGATAAACTAAAGTCTTTTCAGTTTCTCCTTACTTATTCTCCTACCTGTTTTTGTGTACCTTCCCTTTTCCTCTTTTGTATATATATATATTTTACACCTGTTCATTTTTGAGTTCAGCAGGCACCCAGACTGGAGAGGAAATTCCCATCATTTCCCGAAGCAACATCAAGGAGTTCAAAGACAGCTTCTCCAATGAGAATTTCGATTTCCGCAACAGCCCAAACATAACATTCTTTGTCTATGTCAGCAACTTCACGTGGCCCATCAAGATTCAAGTAAGTTTTGTGACGAAGACAAGGAGTTGGTTTATGTTGCTAAAGTAATGCTGATGATTTTTGTACAGACTGCTACGGTTCAGTATTCATGAGAAACGGCAACTGTTTCATTTCATCTGCTATCGCACTAATCTGCACTCTTGGTATTTAACTTATATGAAAACATGTTTACCAAGTGAAAGCTAAACCAAAGTAGTGACTAACTGACAGTCTTTGTGATGTTTTCTATGTTTTTTCCTGTTTAAATCCATCAGACAGAATCACACATGCAGCTCAAACAGTATCAGCATCATKTTACTCTGTATTATAAAAAGGAAAGCTGTTTGACTGAAATTTAACTTTAATCAGTATCTAACTGGGCTGCAGCTGTTGGACTCTGGTTGTTGACTGGTGGGAGTCTTCAAAATGCCTCAGTGTTTATGGGGGGTTCTCAGTTTGCCCCTGTGAGACACAGAAGCCTACAGCCTTGTTGGACAGAGTTGTTGTGGGCATCTCAAACCATTCTCATTATAGTTTCTGTAATTCTAGAGYACACATTAATGGCTGAACTTGGTCATATTGCTTGCAGTATTATTGTCTTGTATTCTTGTCATTTTAACCGTTGTGTAAACCAGATTTCCCTTTGAGGGATACAACAAAGCAAACAAAATAATCTTACTTTGATTCAATATTTTTAAAACTAACCACAAAGTTGCTGTTTCATATAGTTTTTAATATTCCTACGATAATAAATCTGTTGATTAATCCTGCAGTCGCTCGAGCTGACGTCTGCCCCGACCCTATCAAACACAGGTTTGTTTTTATATCTCCATGGGGACAGGGCATTGACTTTCTCTGGAAAATGGTTCCCACGATGTAGCAAAAATGTGCCCCCACATACACACAAACCAACAGAATTAACTGATTTTTAGTGATTCTGTGGTTCAGTATTTTTAAACGAACTGCAAAGTTGCTGTTCTGTGTCATCTTTGATATTCCCTCTGTAAAAAAATCACTTTGTTGATTAATCCTGCGGTCGCTCACTGATGTCATCCGCTCGTTATCATTTTCTGATTGGTGGGCCTGATGGATAGAGCTTCATCAGAGCTAACAAAAAATTCTGAAGCTCCTATGTTGAACAGTTTCTGAGTAATAAGCATTTTTGCATGTCCAGACACCCCCTCTTTGGATGGATCCCCCTCCTCAAATATGAGGTCTATGGTAAAACCGTTGGCTGGCGCAGTGTAGGTCAGACTCATCTACAGCCCTGCCAAATTTCATGTTGATTGGTGCAGCCGTTTTTGTGCTACGGTTGACCAAAAATCACTGGAGAGAAAAGGAAAAAAAAAGGTACGAAATCAATATGACTTACGCTTTGCGTGCGGGGGTCATAATAATACAATCTTTTTAAAGTGGTCAAAATGTTCTTATCTTTATTTTGAAAGTGCACTTCAGTTGATTAAATCCTATGTGGTGCAGTTGCCACTAGGGATGTCCCAATCCAGATTTTTTTTTTGGCATCCGATACAACCCGATTTTTTTTAATGTTTAGTCTTTCCGATAGCTTTATTTTAAATTATTTTTCCAGGTGACAAGGTTTGTAGTATTAAAGCAAGCACTGCTGTTCCCATCTTGAGAAACATCCAGTTTGCAGATTTTGAAAGATGCAGTTTCAGCATCATTGTTTTCCGTTGAAAAGTGTTCCCACACTGTGGACATGGTTGCATACTTGTGTGTGTCTTGACTTCTTAACAGCAGTTGTAAAGCATGATGATGTTGAAAACTGTTGTGAAAACTGGGTCGGCCCGATCACTTGACTAAATCCGATTATACCTGATTTTCAAAAAATGTACATATCTGCCACCGATACTGAGTATCTGATCGGGACATCCCTAGTTGCCAATGCAGACATGGTGGAACTGCATGTTGAGCTTGTAAAACTACTTCTCAGTACTTTTTGGATAAAAAAAAAGAATGTATTTTTGGATGCCAAGGAAACTACCCTTTTACAACCTCCTACAAAAGGTTGTAAATAACATGAAGCGTGGCATGAAGCGTTGTGATGTGCTGAGGTGGGAGTGTTGGAAACGGTAGGAGATTCTAAAGAGAAGACCAAGTTCAAAGCATTTAGTTATGATGCAAAGTCAAATATAGTTTTGATATATACAGCATTTTCATATTTATATTGTGGTATAGAAATGAACCAAATGCCTGGAAACTACTTCTCCTTAATATATGTTTAGCTTCAAAATTAGCAGCTGGAACAAAGTTCTTTTTTATCATCAATTTTCGCACAGATTATATCCTATTTGTGAGATTGTGAGCAGAATGACCCAGAGCGCAGGCAGGATCCAAAGTACAAAAAAGGAGTTTATTTGAAAACCAAAATAAGCAGCTGTCAATGCAGCAGAACTCATTGAAACACGAAGACAAACTCACTGGCTGAGGGAAGCAGCAAAATTAGCGGACAAACACTGAAGACAGGACACAGAATATAAAGGCAAACTAATTAGGGCAACAAGACACACCTGGAGCAGACACAAGAGGACACAGGTGAGAGAGGGCGGGGCTGCAGGGCAGAGAAACACAGGGGAACACTAGAAAACTAAGGAAAATAAACACAGACCATGACACTATGTAAAATACACATTCAAAAAAATGTGTAAATACAGTTCAGGTGGTTGCTGTTAAAATGAACTCACTACATATAATCCTTAAGGTCCATATAAGCAATTTATAGCATAGAAGGTTAAAAGCTATAAGAAGAGCACCATCAATTAAGCTAAATGCTGAAGGATTTTACCAGAAGCTGYTTGAAGAGGTTGAAGCTTACTTGACCTACTTTAATAGCTGAAAATTATWAAGAAGAAGCTRAAAGAAGCAGAATTAAATTAGAAGAAAGATCTGCAGTTAGCAGAAAAGCACCTGGAAGGAAGTTGAACTTGGTACAAACATTTTTATTAGCTGTTCGAATGTGTTGGTGATTGCTCTCAGTTACTACCATATCAAATATGAGTTGACTGACTGAGTTACAGCTAGTTACAGTGATAGTTTCACACAATCCTAGAGTAAGATAATGCCTGAGGAATGATAAAGTGCATAAATTTCTAAGAACAAGTGGGACGTGCAGAAATGTAGTAACCATAGAGGGATGAATTAAGTTTTAAGAGTTGTTGAAGCCTTGTTAGGAGACGGTTTGCCAATCTGAGCAGTACAGGTTTATCCTTAGAAGTTGAATTGAAGAGGTAATTTTGTTTTGAAAGTGTTGATGGAAAAGTAAAAAAAGGYGAGAAGTGAGAATTTATAGATCTAGAAATCATTTACAATAAGGTGTTAAAAGAGCTATGTGCYAAAAGTTGGTTATGAACTCTCGCATATTTAGAACGCAAGTTAGKCGCATCTTGGTGAGCTATTAACTTTAATTATGGATTCGTCTTTGCWGCTATATCACAGAGCTACAGTGTGAAAGGGACAGTTTTCGTGATCTGACTTGTTGCTCCACAGGAACTCTGTCCCCCTGGCCCATCCTCCTTTTTTTTAAACAAATTTTTTGGGCGGGTGCAAATACAGTAAGTGCATAAACCCTGCCTCCATCTTCCACGTCCTGCCTTGTGAAGAAATTTGGTTTTCTCAGCTTCTCAACACCAGCTGCTGCCAGCCGGTCTCAGGAGGCCTCTGGGACAGTTCTACATCACAACAGCAAGCTGAGCTGAGTTCAGGGAKCTTTTCAACTTCTCATCTCAGCCACTTCTTCCTGCGTCCTGCTGGCTGGGATCATGTAGAAGTTCACCCCAGTTCTGAAACTCAAGAGCGCGCAACCCAGCTTGCTGTKTTGTTTTTCTTCCTTTGCTCTCAAGGAGTTTTCTCTTCATCAGCGAGGTAACACTTTATGCCTCTTATATGCTTGGCGCCTCTCCTTTATCAAACCAAGTTTCACAGTTTCTTCCCACTAACACGCCTGCGTTTTTCTTTAAGCCTTATCTTCAGCTATTTGCTCTCGCATGGTGCTGGAGTTTGGGTGCGTGTGTAAACTGTAGGTGGTGGCAGGCAAAGGTCGTAGTGTTGGACAACGACTTATAAGCTACAATCTGAAAAAAGAGCAAAAGCAAAGTGGAATGTTAAATTCAAAACACATGCTRCATTCAGAAAGGACTGCGTGAATGTTCAGCATGCTCTCCAGAGCTCTGACTCTGCCTTGCTTTCTCTGTCCGTACACCAACTCTGTTTGCTTTTTCGTGGTCGGAAGTTGTCAGAACACTAAGCATAGCACTTGTTTTTGAAGACTGAACCCCTAGTCTGCTGCATAAATAGCTTGTTTATTAGGCACCAGTTTAGTGCTGGCATAAAAAATATATGACTACCCAGCTAATAAATATTTTCAGCACAACAGATTAGTGTTTAGCACTGTTGCAGCACAGCAAGAAGGTCCTGGGTTCAGTTCCCGCTTTGGACCAGGGATTTTTATGTGTAGAGTTTGCTTGTTCCTCCCACAGTCCAAAAACATACACGTTAGCCTGCCCAGACCCAGGCCTCTCTTGCAAAGAGATGTGATTTGCCTGCTTAAATAAAGGTACATAAATCTTAAATGCCCAAGACTGGATTGTAAAAAACTAAATGAAATGTTTCATTATTGGTAAATTGAATTCTGTATTGCGGTCATCAGTGTTCAGACTACCCAATCATCAACGTGAAATTAGTTGCAGCCAAATAAATCAGCTAAAAATTTCCAAGCCCCCCTCTTTTTTTCATTGAAGAATACATTGGATTTAAATGTTTGTAATTAAACACAAATCCCAGACTAAATCACATTAAAAAGCTGTGATCTCCTGTTTGCTGCCTTAGTGAACATGTTGTGAAATGGTAGAGATTAGAGCTGCCTTTAATTTGGTACCCCGCTGTGAAAGAGAAGCAGCTGTAGCTATCAGCCGGCTGCTCGACGAATCTGTGTAGAATCATGTAGGTTTTATCTGGTTCACATGTGGCCACATGCTGGCTCATAGAGATCACATACAGGTAGCAAG